TTTTGATATTCACGGCATGGGGTTTTGGCTGTACTTGGTGCCGTGTCTGTTTACTGACTGATTGCACTGGGACAGCACTTTTTTTCTGGATGCACGTGACATCTGCGTTGTGTCGGGCAAGGTCCTTTTGAGATCTTGTTGGTGGTCTAACATGCTAGTAGTTGCTGCTAACATGCCTTGGTGGGCAGACTGAACGGTCGTAGTCGGGCGGTGTGTCTCAGCATGTAGTAGTATTGGCGGTGGCGATCTGGCTGGGAGCGGCTGCTTTGGTGTTCGGAACACTTTGGTGCTGCGAGTTTTCTGGCAATGGCATGCAGCTGTCAAGATCGGGTTCCTGATCGGTTTTGTCCCGTCTCTTTCTCTTTTCGTGTCTTTTCGGCGGTGGGTCCCGGGAACGGGTGGCACGAGTGTCAGTTCGGGGCGTTGGCTCTGCTGCTGCGCTGTGGGGTCTCTTTTCGTGCCACCCTAAGTCTTTGCAGAGCTTGGCAATGGTGCCGTCGTCTCCGCGAAAGATCCTTCGAGGGAGTGGTCCCTTGTCACTTAGGTCCAGCTCTTTGCGGACTTGTCTTACGAGTTGTCGGCGCGGTTCGATCCGAGTTTCCTGCTCGAGCCTTTTCACGAGTTCCTGGAGTTTCGTTCTGTTGTACACGATGTTGCTGCTTGGTTGTGCTTCCTCGTTCGGGGTGCTGATCTTGTGCGGGGCAATGTCGTCCGCTTTGTCGTTGGAACTGGCTGTGGTGTCTGTGCTCTTGGGGCTCCGTTCTGCGTGTTCTGGTTGTGCTTCCGCCTGCGCGCTGTGGGTGCAATTTCGGGGGTGCTCTAGAGTCGCGGAGTGTGTGTCGTTATATAGACACGTCGAGCATCTTGCTGTGGGAAGTGGTTTGCTGCTTGTTTTTCTCACTGCCTGGGTCGCCGCGCTTGTCAGGCAGGGTTCTGTTTCGGCGTCTGGCGTCATGTCGGAGAAGCTTTGTGAGGGTTGGGAGTCCCTGTGAGCCGGGAATGGCTGCCAAGAGTCTGTTAGTTGGGTTCCTCTGGCAAGGGCGGTCTAAGTGGTTGCGATTCGGTTCTGTGCGGACTGGTTTTAGCTGCTTTCTGACGATTGAATCGTGTGTGCCGAGACTCTGCGAGGCGTTTTCCCTGTTTTGTTGGATGGATTCGTTTTGAATCGGGCGTCGTGTGCCTTGAGTTACTGCGTCGTTGCCTCGGCGTTTTCTCGGATCTGTTGTTTGCGGTCATTGGCGAGCGTGCCTGCCCAGATGATTCCTTCGTAGCCCCGGTAGTCGAACGTGATGACCAGGCCGGCGCCGTTGTGCGGGTAGTTGCGTGTGGGTGGTTGGGGAATGTAGAAGTAGCGAGTGAAAGCTTCTCGCAAGAAGTCGCTGAGCTGGATGCCTTCTTCCCGCACTGTCCAAGCGTTTAAGATGAGGATCGATTCTGAGGGTGAGAAACCGCCTATGCCGATCTCCTCGAGCCACTCGTGAAGGTCTTCCTGGTTGCCCGAGTGCCAGGGTTCGGTATCGCAGCCACCACAGGTGGAGTAGTACTTCTTCTTGCTTTCGACTAACACGGTCGTTGGCGTTAGAAAACCAGGTAGCCTGAGTGGAAGGGGCGTATGCAGCGGGGCGAGTGATGCCCGTACATGGCCTGCCAGTGTGCGGATCTTGTCACAGCGGTGCTGGAACTCGTTCTGGAAGCTGTTGCAGGATGACAAGGTTGGGACTTGTTCGGGGAATGCGAGATAGTTGAGGATCTTGCTTGCACACTGCAGAGGGAGGTTCTGCAGGTGCATGTAGCGCTGGGGCATGGCCGGTTGTTTCGTGGCGTGTTTTGTTCGCTGGATCCTCTAGTACTCTTGGTTTCATCGAGGAAACAGCGACAGGTCCATTGTGGTGTGTTTTATATGCGCCCGGTTGTCAGGTTTGTTTGCACATATTTCGCGTGGATGTGTGGAAGTGCTGGTATAACCATGCATATTGGTGTGTGTGTGTGTGCGTTGATGTGTCAATGTGTGCATGTGTGTGTGTGTGTGTGGTCGCGGTGAGTGCTATTGTTTTTTTGCGGTCAGGTTTGTTTCTGATCCGAGTGCAGCACGTTCGTGGTTGGAGCTCGGCAGGGAGTTGTTGTTGCGCGCGTGGTTGAAGTGAGCGACAGATCGCGGTTGCTGCTGCTTCCGTTTGTTTTCTGGCTCGCTTGATTACTGTGCGGTCGGGGGTTTGTTTTACTCGAGCCGTCTTGGCTGGAACGTGCATGTTGCATGTGCACGTCCTTGCGTGAGGGGCTAGTGCTGCTTTTGCCGGTATGTGAAGCCCACAGAGTTGGCGAGATCGTCGAACTCAACGTCGTAAATCAGTTGTTGCCAAGTGGAAAATGCAAAGGGCTGGATCTTGCATCGGAAACGCAGGTTGCGCTGCCATGCGATTAGCTTGGTATTGGGTTGTTGCTCCTGGTCTTCCTGGATGTGATGGATGGAGAGCTCGATGAAGGATTTCACTTCTCGGTGCAGGGCTACGTCAAAGTGGAAGATGCAGTTGTGGATGAAGTGGTTGGGGAAGGTGTAGTAGGGGTCGGCATAGGTCTTGTTTTGTAGGTAGAGCTGCCAGTGTCGAACTTGCTCGTCGGCTATGATGCTGTGGGCAGTTGGATCGAACATGATCTTGACAAGGCTTTCTACTTGCGTTTGCAAGGAGTCGGGTGTCTGTATGTGAAATTGCGGAGCTGGTGGAGTGGGAATTCTGACGTCGTGGAACTGGGTCAGTCCTGAACTTTGCTGGCTTTTGTGCTTTTCGGCGGCGTGCCGTCGGGCGCTTGCTTCTCGTGTCATCGTGGAAGCCGTGAGGATGCTGAGTGGAGAGCTGCTCCCTTCCGCTCTGTCCTGGCACGACGGAGGCGTTGGTTGGGTGTCGGGTGTTTGTAGAGCTTGGTGTGTGTGTGTGTGCTTTCGTCGGAGCCTTGGGTGTTTGCTCTTCTTGTTGCTTCCTGGTTGTCTTCCGGTCGCTGTCTTCGGCGTCGCGCGTGGTGGGCGCGGTGTTCATGTGCATCTAGGTTTGTTTCTGGAACGGTCCGTTACTAAGGGATGTGCTTTTGCTTGCGCTCGGTGGGTGGTGCAGTCGTGATTTTGTGGTGTAGCTTGGGGTATTTGATCTGGTACGACAGTGTTGTGGCGCGTTTCGGTGCTCTAGTTGGTTTGTGCGTTTCAACGCTGTCGTCTGCTTGGGTTGCTGTTCGATCCGCATGCGGCTACGGAGGCTGCACTCAGGACATGTTACTGGTGCTGGCTGTGCTTTTTGCGGGAGCCCTTGTTCTCTTACTGTTCCTCTCGTGTCTTTTCATGCTTTTCGGCTGTGCGACGGGTCTGGTTGCGGCGTCTTGCGTTTTGCGAGGGTGCATCACTCCTTTCACTCTGCGTGGATGAGGCCCGCGTGGTTCTGGTATCGGAAGCTCAGCTGTAAGCGGGCCGGGCTGATGATGTCGCGGAAATGGTATTCGCTCTTGCTGAACTGCGGCATGTAGGAGATGGTGGTGTGGGCGTCGTCGAGGAAATATAGGAATGCTTGGAATTGAGCATCGTGTCGCCAGGATGGGTTTGTTTTCCTGACGAGCTCCGCGAATGTACTGGCTCGACCCTGCCGCAGGAGTTCCTGCATGTGTCGGCTGCTGTGACCGGTCGGGTTTGCGGCTGTGCTATTCGTGAGCGTTTTGACGGAGGTGCCGCAGGAATGGTGCAGCAATTTTCGGTCTAACAGGTGCTGTGGAATGAGTTTGATGCTGTAGACGCTTGGCAGACCGGGAAGGTGGATGTCGAACGTTAAAATCTCTAAGGTCCATCTAAGCGCTTGAGCGCTTTTCCGAAGGCTTTGGTGCTGCATTGCGTCGTGCGTGCTTTTGCTTGCCTGTAGGAAGTCTTGCAGAGCCCACGCGTCTAGGTGTTCCAGCAGTGACGTGATGACGATTGGTAGGACGATTGCAACTAACACGGATGTGGAAGAGGTTCGGTGTCCTCTGTCGAAGGCTGCCGAGACATCTGTTCGCTGAGACGTGGGTGCGGCGCTGTGCCAACGACGTTGCTGGATTGGCTTTAGTTTGCAGCAGTTTTCCGACGTGATTTGCGGTTCTTGATTTTCCTGTTTGGTTTGGTTCCGTCCTGTGGCTCTGATTCGTTTTGGCTGCGCTGCGGGGAGGCGGCACTCGTGGTTGCTTCGTTTTGGTTGTCGGACACCTGCTTCGGTGGTCGTCTGCGGTTGCGTGGAGCGGAGCTGGCGACCTCCAGTTGGATTCTTTGCGTTTGCGGCGCTCCGGCTTGGTGTCTGTTGCGGTATCTGACCCAGCCCACGGCGCCTCTCGGGTGAAAAAACGGCTGCGGGCTGCGCATGCGCTTGATGTCTGCCATGTGCAGTGCGTGCGTCCGCTGGTATGGCAGCACGTGTGTGCTCAGTCCGTGTTGGTGCTGCATCTGCCGGAAGGTCGTAACGGACAGCTTTTCGGTGTGTGTGATGTAGGCCCTGCCATGGAGCAGCTGATTGTGTCCGAACCAAATGAGGCCTGCCCGTGCAGGTTGGCCTCTGATTTCGATGGTTTTCTGTCCGTTTAGGATCATGGACAGCCACTTGGCTTTGAGGATCATGATTCGGTCCCCGTCTGCTGGTACGGCGTCGTCTTCGAGCTCCGGTACGGGTTTGTCGTGGGGCGCGCTTGCGTTGGTGTCTTGCATGGCTATTCGTTAGGTCGGGTCGCAACAACGTGCGCTTGGAATGGGGTCTGAGACTACCGTGCATATGTCTGTTCACTTGAACCGCTTAGCGGGGGGGGGTGCGGGGGGTCGGAGGCGGGCTCAGCCGCGCTGTTTGTAGCTTTGCTGTGCCATGCTGTCGTGCTGAATTGTTGACCGTGAGGTTGTGAGGGTAGCAGCAGCTACGCATGTGCAGTATGGGTGCAACCGGTGATAACTGTGATACTGCATGTCCGATCTTCTTGCACTGATGCTTCACTTGCAACGCGTTCGTCTAGCTCTGTCCCTTTTCGTCGTGGTTCTTCGTCTCGTCGCGTCCGACTTTTGCGGGCGCAGTGGCTTCTGGGTTGGGTGCGTCTTCGATTGGCAGGGTGGGTTGGTGTTGCTCGTCTTGGACTGGCAGGGCGAGTTGCCGTTGTGCGTATTCTTCAGCTTCCTTGCGTTTGCGATAGCTCCTGCTGATGGGACACAGGTCGTCTGGTCCAGTGCGGTACCGTGTGAACAGGGAGGGGGGCATCAGTTGGTAGTAATTGAAGTTGATATTGGTTCGGCGAACGTTTGTGATCGCGAGCGCGTAGAAGTTTTGGGAATCGGGTGGGTCCAGTTGGAGGTGTTGGTTGTAGAGTTCGTGAAATTCCTGACCGTCAATGCGTCTCACTTGTTCGATGGTAGCTCTTGCTTTGATGCAACCTTCGCTTGCGAGCCAGATGCATTTTGGCCTTGTTTTGGTGCCGACGACGAGTATGTGCTGCTTCTGGGCCAAGATGTTGTTCAGGGTCTGTGAGTATAAAGTAAGGATGCTGTCGCCGATGTCTGGGTGGTCTTTGTTGTCTGGCACAGGTCCGTGCGGTTGCGCGTCGTGGTTGGAAGTGGTCAAGCTGCGGGCGTCGGCTTCGTCTCCTTCTTCGGATTTTTCCTTTCTGCTCAACTGCTGGCTGGAGAAGGTGCCGGACGTGGTTGAGGCGCTTTCTTCCTGGGTGCGAGTGAGGATGTCGGTGGTTGTGGGCTGGGGGGGTGGACAGGGGGTTGGTGCTGCTGATTCTGGGTTGTTGCGAGGGCGCTTCGGCAGCCGGTTCGTGCGTTGTCGTTCTGTCGTCCGTCAATTTCTGTCTGTGGGTCGCACGTTGATGCGCGTATTTTGTACTTTGCTCCGAGTTGCATCCTGGTGCATCGTGGTGCTCGAGTCACGTTGGCTTGGGCGCAGCTGCTTTCGTCACATGTCGTGAGCTGGCACTCGAATGTTGCAGGCTGGCTTGTTGTCCTGCTGGGTCGAGATTCTAGTGGAAGGATGTTCTATGACTTCCTGATGTCTGTCGCGGGCTGTTGTGTGGATGAGCTTCTTGAGCATGTGGTAGCGTCAGAGCTTTGCATGTGTGTGTTGTTTCGTGTCGTTGGAGCTGATCCGGACTTGCTGCGGCAGCTGCTCCATGTTTTTTCTAGTGTTGTTTGCAATTGTTGGTCTCTCTCCTTTTCTCTCTCTTCTTCTTTCTTTGGTTTCTCTCTCCCTCCGTCTCTCTCTCTCTCTCTCTCTCTCTCTCTGTCTCTCTTTCCCTTTCTCTCTCTCGCTTTCTCTCTCTCTCTCTCTATCTCTCTCTCTCTCTCTTTCTCTCTCTCTCTCTCTCTCTCTCTCTTGTAGTGTCTGTTTCATAGTCTTTCTTCTTCTTGCTGTGTCTTTTATGATCTTGGTCTTCGCATTGGGTGCACAAGTCGGTTGGGATGGTGGCGGTCGCGGTCGCACTTCTTGTCTGTCTTTTCTTTTGCTTGCGGGTGGTTCATTCATTGCTGTGCGAGTCGAAGGGCCGGGCGCGACTGTACAGGGCTGATGCCATCAAGCTGGATGTGGGTGCTCCAAGCTGTTGGTGTAAAGCGTGCTGAAATCGAAGGTGCCGTTGATGATTTGGTCGCAGATGCTGCTTGGTCGAATTGGCATGGATAGATGTGAAATGACTCGTTGTACTATCAAGTTTAGACGCACGACGGCCACTCCACTTGGTGTGAGTTTTTCGAAGCGTGGGTTGTCTTCGGTTTTGCTTTCGTCGACGAGCACGTCCCAGCAGTGTTCACAGATGCCGGTGCGGTTGTATTCTGTCAAACCTTCGGGAGAGTAGTGCGTGCCTTCTGCCTCGCAGCGATTGCAGCAGATGCAGGTGTTTTGGCGCACGTTTTTCGCGACTTGGAGCTTCTTGTGAATCGCATCTTTGAGAGCGGTGAGCTCTTTTTGTTCGAAGACGCGCACGTGCAGGATCTTTTTGCTCATGAGTGCTCGGCTGTACGGACTTTCTTTTTGGAATGCGCTAGTTCACTTGCGAATTGAGGCTTGGGTGCTTGGGCCAAAGGTGCGGCGAGGGCTGTGGTGCGGAGCTGTCAAGGCGTGGATGCGCTGTGACGGGGCGGCTTCTCTTGCAGCGGTGCTGTCGTTGATCGAGCTTTGCTTCTGAATTTGCTGGAGCCATAAGTCAATGTGCTTCGTGTGTGTGTGTGAGAGAGTTATATTCGCGTTATGGCGATGGGTGGGTTCTGTGAAGCATGTTGGACTATCCTGTCCGGGCACTGCTGCAGCAGTGTTTGTGGTTGAATTCCCTGGGACAGGATTTCGTGGCTCAGGTGTGCTTGCTGAGGGAACAAATCGATGCGGAAAGGATTGCAATTCAGTGTTTCGCGGAGGCGGAGCACCTGGACGCCCTTCGGTGTGAGTCGACCCAGGTGGTTGTGCGGTCGTTGCATGATCATGGTGTCGTAGCAGTATTCGCAAAGCCCGCTTCGCTGGTAGACGACGCGGCCGGCATCCGTGTAGTACTTGGAGGATCTTTGATGTGAGCACGCTATACAGGTGTCTCTCCGGTGATGGTGTTGCAGTGATGTTAAGACTGTGTCGATCGCTTGCTTGAGCTGTTGCAAATGGGGGTTGCCGAGAGACCGCACTGGCAGTGATCCTTGACCGTGTGGATGGGCCATCTTGGCGTTTTTCAGGGGTGGCACTTTACTGTGCATTGCGTGTTGGGCTTAAGGGGAGTGGCTCGCTTGCTGTCGGGACTGCTTGTTTGGCGTGGATTGCGCTGTGGTTGGTGTTTGTCGGGTCTTGTGTACGTGACTTTTGTGTGGGTGGTTCATGATTCATGCTGCTTGAGAGCTGGCTTCGGTCGTGCACTGTGAGCAGTACGTTCCGTGCGGCAAGGTGTATGCGGCTATATTGCTGGCTGGTGGTGTGGAACGTTTCTGGATGCCTGTTTGGTCGCGGTGTTGTTTGTGTCTTGCGAAGACCTCCAGCAGCGTTTCCTTGCATTTTTTTATCTTTGTGGTTGCAGGCGACGCTTCTGCTGTGCCTGAGGCATGTTACGTGTTTTGCTCGAGACATAGCGTTTCCTGCGTGAGGAGCCACAGCAGGAAGTCATCGTCGTGGTTCTTGAGTCGATGTGCAAGGCAAATGGGAACGTTTTGCAGTATGTCTCTGACCGCGCTGATGACGCTGACGCGGCCTTTGTAGTTGTTCTTTACGCAGAGGACGAGTCCGGCTTCGTAGTTGTGTGTCTTGTAGGAGTTTCGTCGAAACATCTGGGGCTGGTCGAAGAGGCCGGCGTGGAAGGTAAGCATGTACTTGCCGTTCTTTTTCGTGATGTTGCATTTGGTGTGGCGAGTGCCTCTTGGAGGCGGCAGCTTGAATATGTCTTCTACTTTGGTGTTGGGTTTGCTGTGCTTCAGTGGAATCCACGGCTCGGGCGGAGTTGGTAGATTGGCCACGTTTTTGGGACTGTTGCAATGGAGCAGCAAGTTTGGTAGCTTTTTTTTGCCTTGCTTGCGCTGGCTTCTGTACCGTAGGGTGTCTCGGAGTAATCGGAAGAACTGCTCGAGGGACCGGTGATGCACGTAGAAAACGGGCTTTCCTGGTGCGTTGTCCGAACTTTCTGCGTGCTGCGCGTCGCTGGTTTCTGGCAGGTGATTCAGCACGGTGATGAAGGCGTGCTCTTCGAGGCTTCGGAAGTCGTTGACTTCATGCATTCCGTGTTGTCCTGATGCCAGGTACTTTTGTATACCGGAAAGGATGGCGGAGTGCGTATAGCTCGGTTGCGACTGCTCCAGGTGTACTTGCCAGAGGGGCTCGTCTTTGTAGCTATTGAGAAACCAAGCATTGGCCATGCCCCAGAAAGTCATGACTGCAACTAACGCGTGGTTGGGGTCTTGTGGGACGTTTGCGGTGTTCGGGGTCCCGTCTGCCATGGCTGCTCGCATGCCGGATTCTGGTGTGCCTCTACGGGGTTGCTGTCTGTTGTTTATGCTGCGTAACGGAGCGTGAGCGGTGCAGGCCGTGACTGAAACCTTGCTTGGCTGTGTGCTTGTATGTGTCTGCTGGCTGGTTCGGGTGGGGGCTGGAGCTGTGGGCACTGATTTTTTTGTCGTCAAAACTTCTGTGCACTTGGTGACGTCTTCTGCGTGCACTTGTGCCGGTGATCTGTGCTTGCGCTCAGGTGTCGTCCAACGGGATGGGGTTGAGTCGGAAGGGGCCTAGAGAAAGGAGCCAGGTCAGCATGGGGTCTTTCTTGTCATCGATGTAGTGGTAGAAGTAGACGGGCATGTGGTACAGAACGTTGTCGACAACCCTGAGTACTTTCTCTTTGCCTTCTTGGTCGTTCTTTACTTTGAGAAGGCGGACGTAAATTCGCTTTTCCGTTGGATCGGCTGTCTTGTGGAATCCGTAAGGGACCTGTTGTGCGTCGAATTTGTCCCGAAAAATATAGAGTCCGCCCAGAAACATCAGGTCGTAGTGCTCGTCTTCGGCAGCTTCGAGTTGGCACACGATGTGTCTTCGTCCTCTGGGAGGCAAGACTCTGAATATGTTCGGCATCCATTCTGGTTCTGTGCGCAATAGTTGCCACGGTTGTGGTAGGTCTTCCTGCGTAGGGCTCCAGTGCGAACAGTTTGACTGCACTTGAAGTGCTGGCATGTCGATGATATGTGCTGAATCCACTTTGTGCTGAAGCACTCGATACACCAGATCCAGGAGTGGGTTGGGGTTCTCATTGCCCACGTAGAGCACAGGTCGCCACGGATTGAATTGCATGCCGTCCGGGTCATTGTCTTCTTTTTGCTGGCTGGGGGCACCGTTGAGAACTCGTATTTTCATGTGTTGCTCCAGGCTTTTCAAGTCCGTGATATTCGGGTCGGGGTAGTTGCGGAGCGTATCATTCACGACCTGGAGCAGCTTGAAGCTGAAGTTGTTGTAGCCCGCGTGATCGATTTGCATTTGCCACAACTTTGTAGTCGTGGGCGTGTTGTCGAAGTAATGGGCCGCGCTGCCCCAATAAGTCACGGTGGCTAGGAGGAAGCGCCCGGCTGTTGGGTCGGTGTTGTTGCTGTTTCGCTTCGTGAGAGGCTCTTGGAGTGCGACTTCGTGGGCTTGGAAGCGTCGTTTCGGCATGGCGTTGGCGGGAAGTGGTCTCCTGGCTCGGTCGGGCGCCTTTGAAAACTGCCACGTAGCGGTGCAGATGTGTTCTTCACTGTGCCGATAAGCTCGGCTGCGTTTTGGCTGTCTGAGTGCATGCTTAAGTTTTTCTGCTGAGCTTGGTTTTGCTTTCCTTTTTCTTCCTATGTCTTTCTTTCTCTTTCTGTCCCCCTCTCTCTCTCTCTCTCTCTCTGTCTGTCTCTCTCTCTGTCTCTCTCTCTATCTCCCTCTCTCTGTTTCTTTCTTTCACCGTGCACATGCGCTTGGACGTGGTGGCTTCTCCGCATAAAGTTAATCTGTCGTGCTCGTGTTGTGTTGTTGCTTCTCGAGTTCGGTCTGGTGGAGTACGAGCTGGTTTGCTTGCTTGCAGTCAACGCGGTCTACTGTGAGCTTTTCTTATATTGTTGTTGGTATGTTGTAGAGTCTGTGTTTTAGTCTGATTGTTCACACGTCTTGATCGTGGCAATGTGTGTTGCGTCGCTCAGTTTGGTCTTTTGCTGTGCCGGGTGTCTCTCGACAAGTGCGAGCTTTCCTCGTTTTGTTGTCGGCATGTTGTAGAATCTGTGTTTGGGTCTTATTAAGTGTTCATGTGCCTTGATCGTGGCAATATGTGTTGCGTGGCTCCTTTTGGCTCCTTGCCGCGTTGGAGGTCTCTTGACAAGATCGAATCGTCGAGTGCTTTTCGTGAATTGTTTACATGTGCGTTTCGGCTAGGATGACACTTTTCTGACGGGCCATCCAAGAAGCGAACTCGTCGGAGTCATCTTCCGTTGCGTCGATAAAGTAGACGGGCAAGCTGCACAGGGCGTTGATGAGGAGGCTTTGTATTCTCTCTCTTGCATTGCTGTCGAAGCTGTCGAAGTGCATCTGCCTCACATAGGTGGCTTTCTTTTCGCTGCCTGATGCCGGAACGTGTCCGGCTGGGATGTCTTCGTTGTTTAGAAGTCGCCTGTACGGGTAGAGATTTCCGAAGAGTGTGAGGATGTATGCGCCGGGAGGGTGTGCGGCACGGTCGAGTTGGCAGAGTACATGTTGTCTTGTGGTGGGTGGGACTGCACGGAAGCAGGCGATGTCGTTCATGTTCGGGTGGCAGCGGAGCGTCCATGGTAGCGGCGGCTTCGCCGTCCAGTTCCACTCTTGTATGCGGATCACTAGGGGTGGGGGGTGGCTCCAGTGCCCGCACGCGCAGTGGTGTTTCACCAGGTACTGCAGCAGTTGCAGTATGGGCATGGGGGATTCGGCGGCCGCGTAGATTACTGGTTGCCACGGGGTGAATTCCATGCCGTCAGGGTCGGGGTCACCGCTTGATGGAGGTCCACCGGACAGAAGCTTCACGTGGTGGTTCCGCTGGAGCTGTTCGAGGCTCTGCATGCTTCTGTCTGGATGCACGCGTAAGGCTGCTCTGGCGGTGTCCAGCATCATGTATCCGAGCGAGCGCCGGCCTCGGTGGAAGACCCTAGCTTGCCATAGGGTGTTCTCCGGCTTTCGCCAGTCGGCTCGTTCCGCGAGATCCGGAAAGACGAAGGCTCCGTTGCCCCAGGATCTGATGCTGACCAAGATTTCGTTGTAGGCGGGATCGTCGTCGTGGTCGGAGAAGTTGTTGCTGAGTTGGACCCTCGGAGCAGTGAGGCGTCGTGCCATGAGAGAATCGGTGGATCTGGTGCGTTCTAGTGTGGGTGGCAGGTTTGGGAACGTGTTCCTGTTTCAGCTTGCTGCATGCCGAGTCTCCAGCTTTGTGTGTGAGTTTCGGTGCTTCTGCCTTGGCCCTGTTAGTATGGTTCCTGGTTGTGTGCTAAACAGGATTTTACTCTGATTTGGTTGATATGGCAATCTATAGGTACGGGTACAGGTTTTTGGCTGTGCGAGCCAGCAGATGTGCGAGCGTCTGCATGGGCGGCAAGCGAAAGCATGCTGGCAGGTGACTGTTTTTGAGTTGGGTGAAGTGTGTGCAAGCAAGTCGCTGTTTTCCCGTTGCCTTGTTTTTGGTCTGTACTGTTTGTGCTTCGCGTTGCACGCAGCACGCGGGTGAGACTCTCGCGGCTGCTGGCGTCTCCCTTGTCGCCATGGCGTGTGGTCCAGGATATCAGATTGGCATGTGCACATTTGGGTTTTGTTGGGCTAGAAGTGGTATCTGACTTTTTGATTTAAGGGGACGAATGCCTGCAGCCACGTCGTTAGCGGAGTATCTTCGAATCGAGGCTCGTCCGTTTCTACACCTGCAATCTGAACGTGTTTCTCGAGGGGTATTGAGTAGAAGGATGTTTGCTCGGATGGAAGGCTATGGGTCCATCTGTAGTGCAGGACGGGTGGATTCCACGGTTCGAAGTCGGAACCAACTTCACTCGCTGCTTCGAGCATCTTGGTGGGACGTCTCGACATGTGCCGGGGAAGCTTTGTTTGCATCACTGCCGTGTGTATGGTTCGGTTGGTTTGGGTCAGACTGGCGAAGTTTCGAAGACAGGTCGCGAAATAGAGGAACAGGCCTTGGGCCTGCTGCGCAGCGGTTCCTTGTTCTGTGCTGTGACGGAGGGGGCTGGATGGTTTTTCCCAGGCTGCTATGAAATGCCGGTCTTGTAGGTAATGACCGATGGCGCTTGCGAGACTGTGGGCGTCTTGATGGAATGCTTCGTTTTGGAGTATCGACTCGAAGAAGTGCGCGCACGTTGACTTCCTTCCGCTTCTGCAGGGGCGGGTAGTGTTGCCATTTTGGGTGTAGCTCGACGATAATTGTTGTGCGTTGCAAATGTTGACCCAGACACACCATTCCAGTGCACTGAATTCTAGAATGTTTCGTAGAATGTTTGGGTCGCGGAGAGGCTGTAATGTCGGCGTGTCGTCTTTTCTTGTGGGGACATCATCCTTGGCAGACATTGGAGTGCTGGTTCTTTAAAAAAGTCTGTTTTCTTGAGCTGAATCATTGACATGTCACAGTTTGCATCAGATGGACTCGGGCGGGAGGTCGGGGGTTTAGCTATGCTACTCTTGCCTATGAAACAAATAGAACCCGGTTCTGCTCCGGGGCTTTGCTGACCCCTCGCGCGCGCGCGTGTGTGTGTGTGTGTGCGCGTGTACGTGTGTGTGTGTGTGTGTGTGTGTGTGTGTGTGTGGGTGTGTGTCTGTGTAGCTGCTTGTTGTTGGCTTCTAGGGGCTTGGTGTTGATTTGGGTGAACGGAAATGGAGGTGTTACCTTGCTGATATAGGTGGGCTAGCTTGAGCTGGCCCATGAACACGTGCATTTCAGCTCGTCAGTCGGATTTCTTCTAGCACGTCTTGGTTGGCATTTGGTGCTCCAGGGCTTCGCGGGAGATAACTCTTTGTTTCCGAGCGTGGTAGACGTGTGGACAATGGCTTTTGCCTGCGTTGATTGTCAAGCACTGCTCTACGGGCTGCTGTTACCTCCGGCTGTGAGTGTTGGTGCTCAGACACGCTTGAACTGCGGGCAGCACTCCGTTTTGTGGCGGTGGTTCACTGTACGTCGGCTCCAAGCACGGTCGCATTGTGCTATGATGGTTCCTGGCATTGGGGCATCGCCTGTGTGTTGGAGTCGTGCTTTTGCTTGAGGGGGGCGTTCTTGGGCATGCTTCATTAAGGGGACTCCTGTGACTTGTGACCGTGGCAAGTGTCTTCCGGGTTTTCAGTGAACGTGAGGGTGCGTGTCTTTTTTGCGGGTTGCGGCATGTCGCCATTGGCAATGTTGCATGCTTGGGTCCTGAACGAGCGGGTGGCTTTATGGTTGCGTTTGTTCATATGATTTGATGAAGCTGGCTTTGGGCCTGGTCTGTATGTGTGCTGGGTGATCGTTGGCGACGCGGTTGATTCTTACTGCTTCAACCGGCACAGGTTTGGCGCGTGACGCGTCGTGGTGTTGCTGTGGGGGCATGTGTGGTGTTTTGCTACCTTTGTTTTTCGACAAGAGGCAACGTTTGAGCTCCCCGCGGCAAGGAACGATTGGGCGGCTGCTCCGGTGACATGTGTGTGTGGACGGCTGTTCAGAAGCTTAGCCATGTGTCTGGCATCGATGGTAGGATGGCTTGTGTTGATGCCCGTCCGTGTGCTCTGGCGCGAGTTTTAAAATGGTCGTGTTACAGGTGCTCTTTCGGGCACGGAACGATTTGCTTGGAATGTGTCTCTTTCTGATTTGAACTGCTTAAGGGGGGTTTGTGTCTTCTTGGTGTTAGGTCGGCTTCAATGCCACGTTTGCGTGGGACGAGCTGTCCGGGTCGTGGGGTGTGCTGAGTGGTGACATTAGTTGGGGGATCTGTTGCTGTTGTGTTCGCGGAATGGATTGTGTGTGGTTTTTCTTCTTATTTTTTTTTTTGTATGGCTTTGTGCCTGGCTGTCTCGCAATTGGCAGAAGTTGTCAATGTGCTTGGTCGTCACTTGATCTGTTAAGTCGTGTCCCACGTATAGCTCTCGTTCAGAGATTGGAGTCAGCTCTCGTAAATTGTTGTGGTGCATTGCTTTTTGATGGTGGGCTGTTTGGGCGATCGAAGTGCGATGGTACGTCACTTGTCTGTTTGCTTGTAAGTTGCAGATTGCTTGATTGGTCGCTGATTCTATTGGTCGCGTGGTTGCTAGGTACTTGGTTGGTGTTCTCGCCACTGAACTGGGGGGTGTGTGAAGTAGTCGCGAGGGGCGATCGAGGTGTGATGGTGCGGCACTTGTCTGTTTGCTTGATAGTTGCTGATTGCTTGATTGGTCGCTGATTCCATTGGTCGCGTGGTTGCTAGGTGCTTGGTTAGTGTGCAGCGTGCTTATCACTCTGTCGTTTGCTTGCTTACTTGATTGGCTGCTTGGTTGAATGGTGGTGACTCTCGGTTGGTGGGTTGGTGGCTTCGTGGGTTGGTGGCTTGGTGGGTTGGGGGCTGGTGGTTCGTGAAGCCGTGCTCGGCGGCTGGGTCGGTGGGTGTGTTCGGGGATGGGTGAATCGGTGAGGGTCTTTAGTTGCCTTATGGGGCTCGTCGGTTGGATGGTCGATTATTTTCAGCTAGGTGGATTGGTCGCCTGGTTGCTAGGTGGTTGGTTGGTGTGTAGCTTGCTCGTGAGTTCTTTTGCTTGATTGTTTACTTGTTTGGTTGTTTGGTTGAATGGCGGTGGCTCTCGGGTTGGTGGGTTGGTGGCCTGGGTTGGTGAGTTCGTGCAACTGTGCTCGGCGGCTGGGTCGGTGGGTGTGTTGGATCTTTAGCTGCTTTGTGGGGTTCGTCGGTTGGGTGGTCGATTGGTTTACTAAATTCGGTTGCGAAGATCTACTCTCGAAGGTGCGGCGCGAAGGTGGTGTGATTTGGGTTGTCTCTCTGTTGCTGTTCCCAGTTTTTGTGTTGTGGGAGCGTGCTATGATGTGTTGGGTGTAGCATGCGGATGAATGCTTGTTAGATTGCGTCGTTGCCGTATGCCGTTGGTTGGCTGCTTGGCTGCAGGGTGTGTTGTTTGTTGTGTTAGGCTTCTCGTCGGCTTGATTCTTGGTTACCTTGTTTTTCCGTTGTTTGCTCACCTGTGTGCGTTTGAGCTCCCCGCGGCAAGGAACGAATGGGCGGCTGCTCCGGTGACATGTGTGTGTGTGTGTGGACGGCTGTTCAGAAACTTAGCCATGTGTCTGGCATCGATGGTAGAATGGCTTGTTTTGATGCCCGTCCGTGTGCTCTGGCGCGAGTTTTAAAATGGTCGTGTTACAGGTGCTTTTTCGGGCACGGAACGATTTGCTTGGAATGTGTCTCTTTCTGATCTGAACTGCTTAAGGGGGGTTTGTGTCTTATTGGTGTTAGGTCGGCTTCAATGCCACGTTTGCGTGGGACGATCTGTCTGGGCCGTGGGGTGTGCTGAGTGGTGACATTAGTTGGGGGATCTGTTGCTGTTGTGTTCGCGGAATGGATTGTGTGTTTTTTTTCTTCTTATGTTTTTTTGTATGGCTTTGTGCCTGGCTGTCTCGCAATTTGCAGAAGTTGTCAATGTGCGTGGTCGTCAATTCATCTGTTAAGTCGTGTCTCACGTATAGCTCTCGTTCAGAGATTGGAGTCAGCTCTCATAAATTGTTGTGATACATTGCTTTTTGATGGTGGGCTGTTTGGGCGATCGAAGTTCGATGGTACGGCACTTGTCTGTTTGCTTGTAAACTGCTGATTGCTTGATTGGTCGCTGATTCCATTGGTCGCGTGGTTGCTAGGTGCTTTGTTGGTGTTTTCGCCACTGAACTAGGGGGTGTGTGAAGTAGTCGCCGGGGGCGATCGAGGTGTGATGGTGCGGCACTTGTCTGTTTGCTTGATAGTTGCCGATTGCTTGATTGGTCGTTGATTCCATTGGTCGCGTGGTTGCTAGGTGCTTGGTTAGTGCGCAGCGTGCTCATCACTCTGTCGTTTGCTTGCTTACTTGATTGGTTGCTTGGTTGAATGGTGGTGACTCTCGAGTTGGTGGGTTGGTGGCTTCGTGGCTTGGTGGCTTGGCGGGTTGGGGGCTGGTGCGTTCGTGAAGCCGTGCTCGGCGGCTGGGTCGGTGGGTGTGTTCGGGGATGGGTGAATCGGTGAGGATCTTTAGTTGCCTTATGGGGCTCGTCGGTTGGATGGTCGATTGTTTTCAGCTAGGTGGATTGGTCGCGTGGTTGCTAGGTCGTTGGTTGGTGTGTAGCTTGCTCGTGAGTTCTTTTGCTT